AACAGTGAGGTTGAACACACCTGGACAAAAGATCGACAGATTGGTTCATGGAAATGGACGGTCTGAGATTCCTGTGCCCCTGGGATAGACAGGGAACTTGTGCATGTTCCAGTCATGGGTATGCAAGGAGCCAGGTTCTGATCACACAACAGGGGCACTCTAATGGTAGGGATCTGCCTAGAAAGCACTGGTTCCACTGTTTACCCGTCCTCTCTTTTTTGGGAATGAGTGGAAGGAAGAGCAAATAGATTCTCAAGGGCCTGAAGGGGAAAGTTTAATTGCATTTTTATCTTTGAAAAATTCCACTTTAATTGCAAAGACATTTTGCTTTCCACCTGTCTCCTATCAGGCACCTCCATTTGTGAACTAAATTAAAAAAATAATTAATGAACTCAGCTAAAGGAAGAGAGGGCACTATTAAAAAAAAATTCAGATAAAATACTGAAACTTCTAAGTTTGTGGCCTGATTCTCTCTTTTGGAATCTTCATTCTGGTTTTTCAAATGAGCAGAATCTTCTTTTGAAAAATAAGCAGGGAAAATACTCTTATATTCTGGATTTGTAATTCTGGGAAGCAAGAGAGGAGATGTACCTTTTCATATCCCACCACAGAACTGAAGTGTGGCTCCACTCAGGGTCTTCTCATATATTAGGGCTGTGTGGGTGATGAGGGATGGAAGGTGAGGTGAGGGCAGAAAGAGCTAAAGATCCACAGCAAGTTTCACTGCAAAATCTCAAGCTCACCCCAAGGCCCCTATATTCAACTTCTGAAAAAATAACTTTCATCATCTAGAGAATTGGGAATACAATTTTATCAGCTCTACTAAAAACTCTGGTTGCAGGCCCTATACCTTCAGTATGTTGGCTGTGCTAAAATGTCCTTGGAAGAATATACTAAATATAAATAAGAGCTTGTCAATGGGATGTTCCTTAGGGAGAGAATAACATGCACCCTCCAAAACAAAAGCCTCCTTATTTTCAGCAGAATGAATGCTTCGCTTCTGACAGATTTATTAGCTTTTTCAAATAGAGCTTGGTTTCTTCCACTCATAACAATCTCTTGGAATCCATCTTTGCAGCCTTCTTGCTATCCACTCATACAAAGCCTTCCATCTGGGTCACCTGTGACCCTGTGCAGTGAAGGATGTCAGCTGCTGAGCCATGGTTCTGATCCTGTTTGGTTTACAGGACCCCTCGGTTCCCTACTGACTTAATAGTTCCCATTAGACTTTGAAGGCCTCTCAATTAATGAATCAGTTCTTGAAATCATATCTACCTCTCTTTCCAGATGAATCTTACAGTGTGGGCCAACACCGTGAACAGGCTTGGTCCCAAAGTGGGCCTGGCCTCCCCGGCAGGCAGTGTTGGTGAGCATACCTTGAATTCATAGGATTCTTCAATGATCACTTCCAACTTGGTGTGTTCTCCCAGGATAGGGCGCCCCATTTCTGCAATGCGCCTCTCCTCTTCCTCTTTGCTGGTCAGCGGCTGCTTGTCATCACATTCCTCTGTGAAAGGGAAAGGCAAGAAGATGGGCAACCTGCTCTGTTTTATTTGGAAACCCCTGAATCCTGCTATAAGAAAACCAAAGAGGAAGGAAACCTTAACAACCTACCAAAAATCCCTTGGGGGAGATCATGAGGCTGGAGGAGAGAACTGGACAGATGCTTGGCCTGTCATGCAGCATATCACTGTGACAGCAGGTGATTCTAATGTCCCACACTAAGCTCATTGGAAAGTACAGACTAGGAAGAGTAATGTATGGGGCATATCCCTGTTACACTGGTTCAGCTGGCTGTTTGTACATATTCCTGCAATTTAAAGTCCTACAGTGGGACCCTGAGGGATGGAGGGGTCTAGCCGCCTCCTCTCCGCTTTGGAGAGGCAACAGAAAATGCCCCAGAGCCAAAGAGATGGTGGAAGGGAAAATCTGATATTAGCCTCTTACTTGCCAAGAACCGTGGTTGCTAGTTAAGCAGTAAAACACGCAATCCATGTTTCTGTAAGATGCCTGGGCTCCAGTGCTTCTGCTCTCTGGTGCAAAGTCGAAATGTGCTGGGAAAACTTTCACTATATTAGTCTTAAAGTAAACAGGGAGGGCGAGGGTGAGGCCTTTGGGGAGTTAATACTCACTCACCAGGTGAGCATGATTATTTCCAAACCACCATGTCGCTTACACTCCAGGAGAGGCTAGTGGGTGCTGAGAAACGTTAATGGATCCAGGAGTCTGTTAATGAGGGGAAGCTCACAGTTGGCTGTCTCTGCATGAAGGTCATTAGGATAAACTCCAGACTGAAAAGGCCATGCACACGAGAAGGACAAACACTAGTTCTGTAGTAACCCTTCTGACCCAGGATGCTGGAGCAAGACAGGCTACTTCCTCTCACAGTTGAGCAGAAGGAACATCATCTTTAAGGACATAGTACTGGGGATATGGAAAGACCTCAGTCCTGATGCCTTCACTTCTAGGTCTTCCAGACAAACTGCCTGGATGGGAGTCTGTTGATGGAGGGAGGAACTTCTCACCCAGGCTTTCTGCTTTTTGCATTTAGACATCAGCTTCTGCAAGAATCCACACCTCCCATTCCTTCTGAAGGGGAGGTGTGAGGGACCTTGCTGTGGTGGTTCCATTTGTTGCTCTAGCAATTGTTGTAGAGAATGGTTTCCAGGCCAGGTGCTCACTTGCGAGAGCAGGGAGCAAATGGGCTAGTGCCAGTGCCAGCATTTCATATGTCAAATGTCAAAACCAATGGAAGGCAAAGCAGAATGTAGTATGATGGTTAATTCTTTAGTATGTATCTAACAGTGTCTTCCTAAAGGGATCTTTTAGAATCTGCTTTCCTATCCCGAGATGACAGGGCACCAAATAAATGAGATAAAGTCTAAAAATACGTGATTTTGGACTGGCCTGCTGAATGTTAGCAGAGGCAAAGGAGAGGGGCAAGAAGAATACTTTTAACCATAAAAGTGGTAATATTTTTTACAGTAGGATGGCAAGTTATATCCCGAGGGAAGACAAAGGTTTGTGGCTGGGGTATGCAATATTTGTCCTTGCTAAATTATGTGTTGTTTCATCAGGGGGGTTGGCTGAGAAACGTGAAGCCCAATTTACCCAGTGCTCAAATCAAGTATATTTTGATTGTCACTGTTTTCTGATCCTTGAACCTAGGATAATGTTATTGGTACTTTTCATAGCAGCAGGTTATATTAGTGTCTTTGTTCAAAACCTTGGCCAAACATGAATGTTTTGAAGACTTGTGCAGAACAAGAATCATTTTCCCAGAAGAAGTGTTACAACTGGGATATCTATCTGAATTGCAAAGCCAATGGGGAGAATATTCATTACGGCCTTCTTTCCTGTAGTTTATTGTAAATGACTTTTAATGGGACTTACGGCAATTTAGGTAGAAAAAAATAGAGAAATTATGAAAGGAAGGTGATATGGTGGCATTGTTTAGTGTAACATTTCATAAAATGACATTGATTTGGAACATGGTATTAAGTAAATGGACGTGGTAGCAAATGAAATGGAATCATATTTCACACAATGGAATGAAAAGGTTCTTTCTTTTTCAGTAATCCTTCAGTTCTTCTGATCAAGAAAAAATACTTAATTTGGTGCTATTAGGTCTATAATTAGTTCCCAATATTTGGGTTTCTACCACTATAAGAGAAAATAGTTCTCAGGCATAAAGCATTTGATAATACCTAGCTAGAATTTAAGAACATTTTTTTCCATTGTAAAATTTTTAAAATCTTACTTCCTATTTATGGCAAATGCCACTAGTTTTCCTTGTGCAACATGGATGGACTTAGAGAAAATTATATTAAGTGAAACAAATCAGGCACAGAAACAGAAATACCACCTGTTCTCACTTATTTGTGGGAGCTAAAAATAAATAAATAAATAAATAAACAAACAAACAAACAAACAAACAAATAAATAAATGGTGGGGTGGGGGGGAGGAGACAACAATCACAATTCCTTAAACTTGTTAAGACAAGAGAACAGATATGATGTAGTTGCGGGGGAGGGGAGGGGGGAAAGAGGAATGGGCAAAGAGACATGAAAATCAACCACAATGTATACTGAGAAGTTAAAATAAAATAAACCAAACAAAAAAACAAATTTAGTCAAGTAAAAACATGAGGCAATTTCAAAGAATTACATTAAGTAAATAATAGCCTAGCCAGTATGTAACCAAAACAAAATTATAAAGGAGATATGAGAATGACAAAAACAAGGAAATAGTGTTTTAACAGATTTCATTCTTTTTTTTTTTTTTTTTCCTTTTTGTCTTTTTTCGTGTCCGGCAACGGATCG